GTGGTGGGGGGGGGGGGGGGGTTGTTGACGCTGGGTGGTGGTGGTGGTGGTGGGGGGGGGGGGGGAGGTTGTTGACGCTGGGTGGTGGTGGTGGTGGGGGGGGGGGAGGGGTTGTTGACGCTGGGTGGTGGTGGTGGTGGGGGGGGGGGGAGGTTGTTGACGCTGGGTGGGTGGGTGGTGGTGAGGGTGGGGGGGGTTGTTGACGCTGGGTGGTGGTGGTGGGGGGGGGGGGTTGTTGACGCAGGGTGGTGGTAGTGGTGAGGGTGGGTAGTGGGGGGGGGGGGGGGGACTGACGCAGGGTACTATTCACATGCTAATTTTGTGCCGCCTATCATCACAAATCACGTCAGAGACCGTGTTCTTCTGGCACTGATGGTGTGACGCAGGCACCGTGCCACCTGCCTCAGGCACCAGGTGTGAGGCGCCACGTACGAGACACCAGTACTGGAGTATGCAGCACCGGCATGGAATCCGCGCCTGGTGAACCATAAAGCCAAAACTGACAAAAAGACCAGGGGCTAGATTCACTAAAGCAGTTACGCAAGCACTTACGAACCTGTACATCTTTCCTCAATCTTTGACGCCTTTGGTTACATTTATTAAACAGTTTACAAGCATGAAAACTTGCCAATCAACTGTTGTTATTGTTATAAACAGCCTCCTGGTGCTTCGGAGCTCATTAACTGTTTAATAATTGTAAACAAAGCCGCCAAAGATTGAGAAAAGATGGACAGGTTCGTAAGTGTTTGCGTAACTGCTTTCGTGAATCTGGCCCCAACTGATTGCAACAAGACTGGTGCCAGAGCTAACAGGTTCAAGTTACGAAGACAGACTAGTGGACCTAAATCTCCCAGCCCTATAGGGTAGAAGGAACACAGGGGGGGATATGATCACAACGTACCAGATAACCAGCCCAATAAATAGACACCAGGCACCAGGTGAGCCGCACCACTCCCATACTGGTCAACCACCACTTGTGTGTCTGAAGCACCTTAAAAATAATTTGCTGTAATGAGTTTTAAAGTATTTGAAGTAACTCCAATTACCTGTAACGAGCTACTCCGTTTGGAGTGCTTCGCGCAGGTGTTTTACCAATTACACATTTGTGATTGGTCTCATCGATAGAGCGACACCCACGCTTCGCCCTCGTTCGATACCCGATGGTCCTAGCAACCAGCACTCCCTCCTCCAACGATTACTTGGTCCGTCCTACATAATTGAAGACAATGCCAGAGTTCTCTCACTCACTCGCCACTCCTGCCTCCCATTTGGAGAGTGACAACCTCTTTTGGAGCCTAACTTACTGTACTCCCCTAATCGTATAGTCACTAACTCTGCCTCCAGGGTAGATTTTAGCTCCTGGACCCCCGGCTTTAGTAACTTTTTTCTATTATATCATCTTGTGATATTACGAATGGAATTCTTCTAAATAAATTCTTTAG